ACTGCCCAGCTGTGAAGACACTTTTTAAGAGCGGTTTTTAAATTACCTTTAAAAAAAATCTTGTGCAGTAGTATTTTTATAGAAACCTTCCAATGGTTTTATAATCTCTACAGCTTTTTAGGAAACACTACTGTTTGACAATTTGGGATTCCTAGTTTCTTCTCTGCAAAGGCATCGTGCGGTAGCTGGGCTTCCTTGTCAAGTCTGCATTGTTCTCCATTTTAGCTACAATTTCCACTGCACTGAGTATTTCATGCTGATGACTTGGGTGAAGCAGAGGCAAGTAGATGTTTTGTTCAACTGGTCCTAATCCTGTGGCATCTTCTCCTTGTGGTGTTTCGCAGTTCCAGGAAGAAATGTTTATGAACGTTGGAGTGTTATCTATGGGGGCACTCATGGGAAGATATAATCCTAGTATAACAAAAATTGGTATGGTTTTGTCATAAACTGTCTGTAGAAATGCTTTAAAAGTTCTCAACCTAGACCTAAAGTAAGATGACAACCATTTGTTACTCAAAACCTTCAGTAGTTCCTCAATTTCTGTAGAATGCACTCCACCTGCTTTAACTCTTTCTAATCTAGTTAAGGTCAATGTTTAAATTGATGTCTCTGCACTTCATTTCAAGCTTCTCTGTCTGCCAGGTTCATCTTGAGATGTCACCAGCCTCTTGTTGATGTCTTACTGAATCTAGAGATAAAACCTCTCTGGAAGTGTATGGAGTGAAGTAACAGCAGAATTCCATCTTCTACGGAACAGACCTTCCAGTGGCTCTGAATTCTCTGAGAGATGAAACTTCTTAATCAACATCTTCCTAATGGATGGATAGATTAATGGATATATAGACAGGTAGAAATATGAATACATTTGTATATTTCACTGACTTTTGAGTCCTAGTATTAGGACCCAAGTATATTTGTTCCCTATATGTTTTCTGAACTCCTCAGAACTTTCATTTGGTGTTCCACACATTCATTTAGAACACAGTACACTGTATTAGAATTTAAGCATATGGCATGAGTCACTTGATACAGACAGGTTGGCACATAGTCCCAAGTCATTTATTTCTCATGAATAATGAGAAATATGAATCATGACTATAAAGTACACGTGTCATTTTAACAAAGAGACCTGAGGCACACAGAGATTTCATAGTTCTAAGCTCATGCCATTTTTTTGAGTGATAAAGAAGAGAGTCTGAGAGGCTGAGGAGATGGCTTAGCTGGCAAAGTGCTTGTCATGTAACTGTGAGGACCTGAATTTTGAGCTTCAGCACCCGCATAAAAAACAAACAAACAAACAAACAAACAAACAACAAAACAAAAAAACCCCAACCAAACATAAAACAGGCATGGTGACGTAGTACCTGTAATCTCAGCACTAGGGAGACAGATCCCTAGAGCGAGCTCACTGGCCAGTTAGCCCAGCCAAACCTGTGGACTTCAGGTTCAGCAAAAATCCCTGTTAGAAAAAAATGAGCAGACAGCAATTGAAAAAGACACACAACATCATTCTTTAGCCTTCAGATGTATACACAAATGTGCATAAACACACACACACACACACACACACACACTCCACACATGATGGACTCCAAGTCCAGTCATCCATTGGTAAATTATAAACTTTTACGGTTATAAACTGAAGTTCCCAGAAAAAAGCCACATCCATGTTAAAAAAATTCTGTAAGACTGATTGGTTAGAACTTGATAATTTTGGAGAGTTAGAGTGTTCTAGATCCAGAGCCAATCACCTTGACCTATCTTTAGACCCTTTAATAGTAATTAATTGCCAGTCTCTGTGTCTGAATTAACATTCTTGTTTTCTATCAGGTGAAACTTTTTGGACTTTATAAGCAGATCACTAGCTACCATCAGCCTATAATCTAAGAAAGATAGTGTCCAAGACCTGTAGCAGAGATTTCCACACTTCGCTGTAACCTACTTAAATGACATTCTCACCCATATATTTCAAAAGTGCTTCTATTTATGACAACTTTGTTCTATAACTATAAAAACCTCATTAAATCAGTTAGTCACTGGAACATGTTATTTATGACGACCTGAACCCATGATCCCAGGCCACGATCACTCATATTTACCTGCAGAATAAATTATATCCAAATCTCTTTGAGATTAAAATTGTGTTTTACATTGAAATTGACACAAAGGGAAAAGCTGTTTAGCCAGCATGAACAGGAGGTTGGCCTAGTGCTGTCATGTATTCAATTGCTAAAGACTAACCTCTAAGATCTGCTTGTCCCCGACTTGGAGAGCCTCACCCATACCAAATGATGCTATGGAAACCTTGCCCCCTAAGTTATTCCTGATTGGTTAATAAAGGCTAAAGCCTATGATTGGGCAGTAGATAGAGGTAGGCAGGTTTTCAGTTACTCAGCTGGGGGACACAGGTAGAGAAGAAAAGAGAAGAGAGGAGACAGAAAGAGGAGGAAGTGTCCATGAGAGGAGATAGACCCCGAGCATGTGGTCAGGAGAAACAGCAAGCAGCTAGGGATGTATGGCTGGGATATTACGTTAGAATACCTCCAAAATCTGCTCAATCTAGGATTACAGTTTGAAAAGAAAAACCCACAAAAACCTAGATTGTATGTCTTTTATATCAGTTAGCTAGAATTTATAATTCCTTTGACATTTGGCACACCACATTGGGCACCAAAAATGTGGGCACATTTATTCTGGGGGTTTGCTATATTCCCTTGTTGCCTTCAAATATATATTATGGGTTTCTATCCTCACTTCAGACCATTTAGTTCACAAATAAATGGCACAGACCTTTTAGATTCACAACAAGCCTTACAGTACTACAACTGGGCAGATACCAGCCCTTTAAGCTATTGTGTCTGCTTCCCCTGCCAAAATCCCCGTAAGTACTTGCATCTGTTTCATTTACACTGTTCCTGCTTCACCAGATCAGCCCACATGGTCACATATGCATGGCCCATGCTACCCCATGGCAACTCCTTCTTCCTTCTCCTTGCCTCTCCTCATGGTCCCTGCCTGAGACTCCAAGACCTGGGAACCTTTGCTTTATCCTCTCTTTTCTGCTCAGCCCAGGCTGTAGACATCTTTATTAACCAATCAGGGATAACTTGGGTGGGGCAAGATTTACATAGCATCATTTGGTGTACATGAGGATCTCCTCCTCAGGGATAACCAGATCTTAGGGATGAGTATTTAGCATTTAAATACATAGCAGCACCAGACCAACCGCCTAAAATATCAAATACACTGCAGATTAAAACAGTGTATTATTAGTCAGGGTTCTCTAGAACAGACCTTTAGGGTTAAATAGGCTTACATTAGAATAGTAACAGTTGTCTCACAACTGAGAGTGCTTTGAGCCTTGCAGTTTCTTCATCCATGAGGCTTAAGCAGGTCCTGGGAGAGCCACTGGTCTTTAGTCAGCAGTGGAAGGCTTGAAGTGCTGATTCTAATGTCAAGGAAGGAATCCACACCAGTTAGGGTTGTTCAAGTATTTGTCTGAATGCTGGAGAGGCCATCAACCTGTTAGCTGCTCAGTCCACAAGTCTCAGTCTGACACTGAAAAGCTGGATGGTTCCTGAAGAGCCACTGGCCCTTAGTCATAGAAGCCTAGGAAAATTGGTCCTGATGTCAGCTGTAGCAACAGGCTAAATTACTTCAGCAGAAAAAGAGAAGGCCAAGAAGGCAAAGGAAGATAATCTTTCTGCCATGCTCTTTTAAAATAATTGAGTTGCTACCAAGAGGTTTCGGCCCATGCTTGGGGTTAACCTTCCCACGTCAATTAAGGAAGTCAGAACACTTTTTTTCAACTAAAGCTGCCTACTCAATGATTCTAATTTTTGGCAAGTTTATGTTAGAAAAAACTATCACAAATAGTTAAGTATCTGGTTAGCTATTATTAACACTACTTGTGTCCTCTTGGTATTTTATTGATGTTGATTCCCAAGTCATGGTGGTTTGACTCTGAACCGCTCGCAGGCTCATTTGTTTGACCACTTGGTCTTTAGCTGATGGTATTGTTTTGGGAAGCTGTGGAGCCCTTCGGGACTAGGTGGCACCAGTGGGTTGCTGGAGGGTTGGGGGGATCTGGACGGTCATCTTTCCCTCTAGCTACACCTCAAACTCCACTTCCTGACTGGAAATGTAAATTCTGCTATGCCTTCTCCACTATGAGATAGAAGAAATCCTTCATCTTTCTTGTCAGTTATTTTATCACAGGGATAAGAAAAGTCTAAAACATCCAACAACTCAATAGATCCCTTATGGTAAGAATTAAGTTGTTATTTCTATCTTCTTTCTTCCTCTATGTTGGTTTTCTTTCCCTTCCCCTTCTAAATATCTAATAAGAACTTGGTAAATTCATTGACCTGTCCAGTTAGTCAGTATATCAGAGATTGTACCATATATTTGGCACTATTGCTATCAACATTAGGTGGATGGGTCTAGTGTCCATTATCATCTTCATGGGGATATCAGCACATAGGCAAGATATGTTCCTAGCCTTGGGGTGCTGTGTCACAGTGGAATTCAATCTATGCTTTACATTTGGTTGAGAGCTGCACTTTACATAGATACTTCCCAGGTTTATCTTAATTGACTTCATAATAGCATTAGAAAATAAATATCTGTTATAATTATAGAGGCGAAAACTAGGTATCCAGCAAGGCTGGCTCGGTGATTACCCTGAGATATGCAGCTATGGAACCACAGTGGAAATGCAAACTCATATCTTCGTGAATTGTCAAAACCTTTACTGATGTGCTTGTCCTCAAAATCTTCAGTTGCTCCCAGCAAATTTGCTGTCTCATCCTTTCCTTAAGAGGAAATTCCCACATTGTTCTTCCACAGTCTGCCCATGAGCCAACGAATATTGGGAAGTTGTTACCCGTACCTCACATAAAAAAATGAGCAGTGCCAAATGGGTGAAGAGCCTGCAAGATAGTTGCTGAGCGTCAGCAGTATCCATCCACAGATAATTCAACTGAGAGCTGGGTATGTGGAGTAAATAACAAAACGGAAGAACTGTAGCAAGTTGGTATCTCTCTGAAAACTTGCAAAACCTGAGAAGCTAGCCTGTTTAAAACAGGAAGCTATGTTGTTTACTACCTGACTGGTGTATGTGATCAAACGTTATCTCTGTTTCATTAGCAGTGAGACCTAATTTACTACTGGACTCAAAAAGGACTTAGCAAAAATCACCAGGTATCGTTCCTTCTTTTTATTTTCTTTTGGACAAGGACATATTGAAATTCAACAGATGTTTCTTAGAAGGTATTTTCAAGTAGGCTTTCAGAACTCTAGGAAAGGAAAACTGGGTATATTAGTCAATGTAGATGGAAGAATTACCTTCCAGAAGTTGTGTATAGTAATTTAAAGGTAACATAAGGTAGACTTAGAAAATATTTTGCAATATATTTCCATTTTCTTCTTGCTTTCCTCATTCCTATCCTTCTGTTCTCCCATCTATAATATGATACAACCTGTCATTTGTACTATTCTGAACATGAACTTTATAACCACTCAAGTTACATTATCTGCTTACCAGCCTTTTACTTCTTATAAGTCATAAACCATGAAGAATAGCATCATTCCAAAAGTGTTACATTAGTAGCTAGTGTTTGATACTGACTTGTAAGATCATCATAAAAACGTAATCTATTGTGTGTATGTATGTTAGCATGAAGATATATTCATGTATTTGTGTGTACACTAAGTAATAATGTGTTTAAATGCATAATTAAAGTTTTTGTTGAAAATCAACTTTAAGTCAGACTATTAGATGGTTTGGTTGGTGATTGCCATGGTGTCTCTGTCTGGATTAGGTTGGCTGTAGATCTATCTCTGTTAGAGGTTAGAGACAAAAAAAAAAATTCCATTTAGCGTTTTGGGAAACCCTAATTTGGCTGGAGTTAGAAGTTAGCTGGGTTTGGTGAGTTCTTTGAGAGAGGGTGGTAGTCTTCAGTTACAAGAAAGTTGGAGCTAGAGCCCCAACCTGTTCTCAGCCTGTGAGTCACAACCCCTTTCAGGGTGGCATATCAGCTATCCTGGATATTAGATATTTATATTGCAATGAATAACAGTAGCGAAATTACAGTTATGAAGTTGTGGTGAAATAATTTTATATTTGGGGGTCACCACAACATGAGGAGCTGTGTTAAAGGGTTGCAGCATTAGGAAGGCTGAAAACCACTGGGCTAGAGGATTCTCTTACTCCTTTCAAAAGATAGCAATGATTACACTGAAGCTAGCCACTGAGTAGTTTCTCTGGGAATAAGAAATGAGAGTACTCTATGACTCAACAAGAAAGAAGCAAATATGCTCAGCAGAATACATTAAGTAAAGAGCGTTGTCAATTAACAGAAGAGAGAATATGGTGACTAATAATTACAATGTAAAAATGCCTCAGAAAATCCCTCAACAGAATAGTAATAACAACAATAAAACAACTCTATATCCACTTAACTGGCCCAATAAATTTTATTGTTTTAGTTCTTTATCATGTTGATGGATGCTTTCTAAAGCTGGTATCATCACCTATAGTGCTAAGAATTTATTGTTGTTCTACATTTCCTGGAAGAAAATTGACAAAATACATCAAGAGTTTTGGAAATGTTATTAGAGTTTGAAAAAGTGTCTTGGGGAAATCAGTTTTAAAAAGACAGAGATGTTTGTTGCTGTATTATTTATAAAGGGTGTTTAATATAAGTAACAGAAGGGAATTTCTTGTGTGGTGTCAATGGTAATATACATAGCACTTAGTAAAGACACACAGTGTGTTTCTTGGTATGCTTACTAGAATAACTTGGCCTAAGTAAGCTGAACATACTGGTCATGCTTGGTCATGCTGATTGCATTACTTTGCCAGCACAGATATTTTTCCCTATGAAAATATATTTTTCATAGCCATCTTATTCAACTAAATAACATCAGCATGAAGACAAAGCTATCCACTACATTTGAAACACCTGCTATTAAGACAATGGCCAACTTTGATCTTAAGGAAAGAAGGTTGGTAAAAGTCCTTGGCAGGTGCTTCATGAAGCCAAGTCTCTCAAGATGAACTAACTACACCTTCAGATTTAGAACACTTGACTGAATAGGGTTCATGTCACTGAAGCAATATTTAGCTATCTTTCTAAGTCAAATGACAATTGGAATTTCCAAAACAAATCTACAATATTATGTAGATGAAAAAGACTTGCCTCTTATAGCAGGGATGATTTAAATTTCTTAAGCAATCAAAGACTTTGAAAAAATCAACATGAGACAAATAATAAATAAAATTTTTGTTTTTCTAAAGAACAAGAAGAAGAAATTTAAGAAGAAATTCAGAATAGATATTCTAACTACTTAGGAGTTTGTTGAGATGTATAGATTGTAGACCTGTATAATTTTAGTGTGATATATATTTGTAAACGTTTCATAATAAAGTTTATAAAATAAATAAGATGCAACGAAATCCTTTTAAAATTAATTTTTTGGGAACAGACTTAGTTTTAAAGGACAGAAAAGAAAAAAAGACCAAAATCTACTTTTGCATTTGTACAACTTGGATATTAAGGCATAGAGTTTCCTAAAATCAATCCAATTTTAGGAAAATGAGTCTCTATCTCTGTCCCCTCTGTCTCACTTTCTCACTCCCTTCTCAACCTTATTTAGGTCCATATAATTTTTGTGCTCTTTACTCCTCATTTTGAAATAATATTCAAATAACCTCCAAGATAACAAGATGATTAGTTTTCTCCATAAAAGTACATTCTCAAACTACACCATTTTCCTTACCCAAAATGTACCTTATTTTCCTGACACATATGAAAACCTGTTTCCATTATTATTTCTTGAGATTTTAGTTTAAAAAATGAAGTAAACTTATTAACCTTGGCTAAGAATGTAGTTCAGTGGTAGAGTATGATATTCTAGACTCTAAGTTTCATTTCCAACACTGAACACAACTTTGTTACCTTTACATTTATTTCCAGAAAAAGTGAGGAATCTCACCATTGCATATACTTCTTTCTATTCTAATTTTTAATATAACACAGGACATGTTTGTAGATGGACTCAAACATCTATCTGTATGGGAGCAAAATTTATCTCTAACTGTTCACACTTTTCAAATGATCACAGGACTCAATAATTTGTGTAGCTTTCCTTAATTTTCCATTCTTGAAAATAAAAATATTAAAATCATCAAGTATACAATATTCTTTCACAGGGATGATTTACATCTTGTTTTTAAGAAATAAGAGAAAAGGCAGAGTTACTCTTTACTTAAAGGAAGACTGTTTGGATTGGATGTTTTACACTATGTAGTCATGCCTAGTATCTTGACATTTTAGTCATTGATGATAGCATGTCCAACTGTGGTCTCACGAGATGGTGAGGGAAATGAAAATTTCTATGTTGTAGTGATGTCACAACCTTCATAACACCACAGCACAGTGTACTGCCAGTGTGCATAGAGATTCTGGGTAAAGAAACCTACTGTGTTGCCAGTTCTCTAGAAGGCTAGCAGAGGGTTGAGGATGTAGCCCTGTGTCATGGAATTTGCCTAACACTGAATGTCTTGCATCCAGAACCACATAAATAAACAAACAAATTGCAAATTTACTTTGTAAAAGTATAGCAATGCAAACATGAACTACATATGCTATTTGATGTAGCTGACTAGGTGAGTAGCGTGCACGGTTTCTATACTATAGTTTAATTGTTAATTTAGAGTAGGCATTTAAAAATATGCTTAGGTTGTATACTGGCATTGTGAAATACATTTTATACCTTATTTCAGCTGAAAGGGAGACTTTTAAAAAGAACACAGTTAAAACTAAAGAGTGCTTAGAGCTATGGAGGAAACAATCAGATCAATAGTCAGATGACAGATGATAAATTCATTGAAACCTTTAAAAATCTTCAAGCTTTTCAAAAACATATTTTATGGGGCTAAAGATATGGCTCGGCATTTAATATTGCTTCCCGATCCCACAGAAGACCTGGATTTGGTTCCCATGTGGCAAGTCACACCAACCTGTGACTCTAGTTCTAGGAAACTTGATGTCCTCTTTTGACCTCCTTGGGTTTTTGTACATATGTGGTACATATAAACTCATGAAGGTACACACACATATACAATGATAACATATAAATAAATGTAAAAAAGAAAAATGTATCTTGTGTGTTTTCATCTGCCTGTGTATATATATGTTATGTTTATACTACGTTATGCATATACGTTGTGTTGATAGCATGGCAGCTGTAGGTGAGTGCCATGCACACAAACTACAACTGGTAAATGAGCTCAAATTCCTTCTAATTCAAGTGATTTAAATAAATAAATAAATTTAAAAAGTAAATTTGTATGTAAGATGAAGTAAAGATACCTTAAAATTATTAGTATGTATTTTGTGAAGGCTGTACTAAACCAGTCTGGATTGAAGTTACCTGTTACATGTTTAACTTAAACTGTGTATTATTTTCCATATATCAAGTATATCAACTTTCAAATTTCTCGTTTAGCAAGGAAATACATTAAAATACTGACTGAATTTATATACTCTGCAAAGTCTGCATGTTTTATAGATTTCATATGTAATTGTATGTATTGTATTTGTATGTATTGTAGACATACATGTAATGTAGACATTGTATACATGCAAAGTCTAAAATAGTTGTTATAAGTAAACAAACTAATTTACAGCAAACCAGTAGCCAACATCAAGCTAAATGGAGAGAAACTTGAAGCAATCCCACTAAGATCAGGGACTAGACAAGGTTGCCCACTCTCCCCCTACCTATTCAATATAGTACTGGAAGTCTTAGCCAGAGCAATTAAACAGCAAAAAGAAGTCAAAGGGATACAAATAGGAAAGGAAGAAGTCAAAATATCGCTATTTGCAGATGATATGATAGTATACTTAAGTGACCCCCAAACTTCCACCAGAGAACTCCTAAACCTGATAAACAACTTCAGCAAAGTGGCTGGTTATAAAATCAACTCAAACAAATCAGTAGCCTTCCTCTACATGAAAGATAAACAGACTGAAAAAGAAATTAGGGAAATGACACCCTTCACAATAGTTGCAAATAATATAAAATACCTTGGTGTGAATCTAACCAAGCAAGTGAAAGACCTGTATGACAAGAACTTCAAGTCTCTGAAGAAAGAAATTGAAGAAGATCTCAGAAGATGGAAAGATCTCCCATGCTCATGGATTGGCAGGATTAATATAATAAAAATGGCCATCTTGCCAAAAGCAATCTACAGATTCAATGCAATCCCCATTAAAATCCCAACTCAATTCTTCACAGAGTTAGAAAAGGAAATTCTCAAATTCATATGGAATAACAAAAAACCTAGGATAGCGAAAACTATTCTCAACAATAAAAGAACTTCGGGAGGAATCACCATCCCTGACCTCAAGCTGTACTACAGAGCAATAGTGATAAAAACTACCTGGTATTGGTACAGAGACAGGCAGGAAGATCAATGGAATAGAATTGAAGACCCAGAAATGAACCCACACTCCTATGGTCACTTGATCTTTGACAAAGGAGCTAAAACTGTCCAGTGGAAAAAGGACAGCATTTTCAACAAATGGTGCTGGTTCAACTGGAAGACAACATGTAGAAGAATGAAAATTGATCCATTCTTATCTCCTTGTACAAAGCTCAAGTCTATGTGGATAAAGGACCTCCACATAAAACCAGATACACTGAAACTAATAGAAGAGAAGGTGGGGAAAAGCCTCGAATACTTGGGCACAGGGGAAAAGTTCCTGAACAGAACTCCAATGGCATATGCTCTAAGATCGAGAATTGACAAATGGGACTTCATAAAATTGCAAAGTTTCTGTAAGGCAAAGGACACTGTCAATAGGACAAAACGACAACCAACAAATTGGGAAAAGATCTTTACCCATCCTTCATCTGATAGAGGGCTAATATCCAATATATACAAAGAACTCAAGAAATTAGACTCCAGACAACCAAATTACCCTATTAAAAAATGGGGTATAGACCTTAACAAAGAATTTTCAACGGAAGAAACTCGAATGGCCGAGAAGCATCTAAAGAAATGTTCAGCATCCTTAGTCGTCAGGGAAATGCAAATCAAAACAACCCTGAGATTCCATCTCACACCAGTCAGAATGGCTAAGATTAAAAACTCAGGTGATAGTAGATGCTGGCGAGGGTGTGGAGAAAGAGGAACACTCCTCCATTGTTGGTGGGACTGCAAGATGGTGCAACCACTTTGGAAATCAGTCTGGCGGTTCCTCAGAAAATTGGACATAGCATTACCCGAGGATCCAGCTATACCACTCCTAGGCATATACCCAGAAGATGCTCGAACATATAACAAGGACATATGCTCAACTATGTTCATAGCAGCCTTATTTATAATAGCCAGGAGCTGGAAAGAACCCAGATGTCCTTCAACTGAGGAATGGATTCAAAAAATGTGGTATATTTACACAATGGAGTATTACTCAGCTATTAAAAACAATGAATTCGAGAGGTTCCTAGGTAAATGGATGGAACTAGAAATTATCATCCTGAGTGAGGTAAGCCAATCACAAAAGAAGACACATGGTATTCACTCACTGATTATTGGATATTAGCCTAGAACCTTGAAATGCCCAAGATGCAACTCACAGGCCACATGAAGCCCATAAAGAAGGAAGACCAAGTGAGGGTGATTCGGTCCTTCTTAGAAGGAGCAACAAAATACTCAAGGGAGCAAATATGGAGACAAAGTGAGGGACAGAAACTGAAGGAGGGGCCGTCTCAAGACCACCCCACCTGAGTATCTATCCCATGTGCAATCACCAAAGGTAGATGCTGATGTGGAAGACAGGAAGTGCATGCTGATAAGAGCCTGATATGGATATCTCCTCAGAGGCCTTCAAGAGTCAGACATATTCAGAGGCAGATGCTCACAACTAGCCATTGAACTGATCATGGGGTTCTCAATAGAGGAGTTAGAGTGAAGACTGAAGGAGCTGAAAGGGTTTGTGGCACCATGAGGAGAGCAACAATACCAACCAACCACAGCTCCCAGGGTCTAAACCACCAGCCTGGGAGCACTTAGGGGGGGATCCAGGGCTTCAGCTGAATATGTAAAAGTGGAGGGCCCTGCTGGGCATAGGTGGAAGAAGAGAACCTTGACCTCATGAAGGCTGGATGCCCCAG